GGTCAAAAAAAAAAAAAAAAAAAAAAAAAAAGCTGGATAAAATACTGACTAGAGTTTCATTCATCAGAATCAAGGATTGCTCAAATTAAGTCATGGATGCTATCCATAAAAAAACTGAAGCAGGGATGATTATGCTATGGGATTAGAAATAAAATTAGAAAAATAAACTATACACAGAAGTAAAACAATTTTTAAGCAAAAAAGAATAATCTTTCCATCCCCAGTTCCACCAGAACAAAGAGGTAAAATTTTTAGAAATCTAACCCAGCCCACGAGACAAAGTCAGGAGAGCTAGACAAAGTCAACTTTACATTACAGTGCCCATCAGTTAGTCAGTTGTTAAGAGCTAGTCAGTTCTTAACAAAGTGGAACAAGTCTAAATCTAAACCATTTTCAATCTGAGATAATAAATAAATTCTATTTCCCAAAGTGTATATATCCGTATTAGTGTTGTTTCTATATTAGAATATAGAAACAACACTAATACAATATAATATAATATAATCCTATATTATATCTCTCATATATAGGATTTTTTTATTCATATAAAGACACCCAGATTATTTGGCTAAGTAATACCTGACATCCGGACTTTTGGAAAATGATGTTGGTGACAGAATTTTTCAGCTTTCATCCACATACATGGTATCACATAAACTGTCTAATGTCCTTACCCTCCCACAGAGAGATAGAATAAAAATAACCTTCATACCCCTTCAGCACTCAACGTTTATTCTTAAGTATATTGTAGTTACTCACATGAGTGTTTTTCTCTCCTCCCAATGCTAAATTCCTTGAGGAGGATTGTACCTGTTTCTTACAGTAAGTGATGTAGACAAATTCAGAGGTAAATAAGTCAAATAATTTGGCTTCAGTCAAGTAGGTGAGAAAAGACATAAACAAAAGGAGAACCAACTTAGAAAGTCATAAACATGTCAAAGTTAGAAACAGCTGAAATACTGTCAAAGTTCAAGGAAAGGATGATCTCCTTCAACTCAGTACATCAGGGGAAGGTTTAATTAACAAGGTAAATGTGTGCTTATTCTTGGAGAATACCAGGAATGTGGTCATGTGTGTCAGGGGAGGAGGAATGCACATTCCAAGTGAAGGAGCATATTGAACTACTCAGAGGTGGGATATCATGAGGAATTCGATTTAGCCACAGCATCCGCTATAGGAGGAGAAGGAGGTGAGAGCCAAGTCTGAAAAAAGTCACTTTAGTTGAGGTAACAGAAGATCTTTGATGTCAGCTATAAAAAATGACCTTCAATAGAGATCCATTGCTGTTTTTGAACAATGAAATAGCAGAGTCGTTTAAGATGACTTCTTCAGCAGCAGCAAGTAAACAAGATTGGAATAGGAAGACAACGAGCAGAGGTGGAGTTATAGCTATGGTCCCTACGGGAAGATAGAAGAAAGGATGGGAGAAATATTG